AGAGAAATAAAATGAGAGAGTCTTATTGGTGAAAACCCACACGGACACCATAAGGCGACGGTGAGCAGAAAAATTGAAAATGAGAGAGCCTGGTTAGTGGAAACTCGTAAAGAGTACTATCAGGCGACGGTGAGAAGAGAAATGAGAGATGTCGATTGGCGAAAACCCGCAAAGGGCGCCGTCGATCGAAAAGAAGACACCCCCCACCACTGAAAGAGTCCTGGCCAGGTTTCTCAATTTAGAGATGTGGTTCACAATGAGTTGGATAGTTGTGCATATCGGGTATCCAGTCCAAGAAGCATGTCATGTCTATTGAAGTCTGCATGCACCCCAGATAAGTCTTTCTTTCCCCCAAAAGGGACGCTTCTCCTTAAATTCATTTTTTCTTGTCCTTTCTTACTTTTTCTTGAATCCCTTTCGGTCTAACTCTGTTCCGAAACTAATACAAAGAAAAGGTGGCAAGATTGGTTTTACAGAGTTTTGTTTAATAAAAGCCAAGTCCAAAGAAAAGTACCCAGCCTCAGTGGGTGCATCAAGTCGATCCCAACTGGCCATGATAGCCGATGCTCTGAAATCAGAGTTATTGAAAATGAAAAGAAATCCAAAGTCAAAAGCCCCTAGAAGCAGATTAAAATGAAAGGGCCAAAGCCCTATACGGGTGAGCCGTCATGATAAATTTTGAAAAGTTGAGTTCCTCGGTTTTAGAAAAGAGACCAATCTTTAAGAAAAGCCAGCAAGTGACAGAGGTTCTCGCCAAAAGAGTTGGGCCGAGATCAAGCGATCAAAAACAATGAAGGCCACAAAACCGACCACCGTTTCAAACTAACAATTGTTCTTTGTTTGAAAATTGAAACAGGTGCAATCCAAAGCAACAGTGCAAGAAGCAGGTGTAACCAAAATGGAAAAAGAAATGTGCAAGCGCTAGAAATAGCTTAGCAACAATAATCAACCCAAAAGGGAAGTCTCCTCCAAATTCTTTCCTGCATTTTTTTTACTAAAAAATGAATTGAAAGAAAATAGATAAGAAGAAAATAAAAAAAAGGTAGTTTAGAAGCCCCAAAATCAATCTTTTACCTTTTTGCCAACATTAGGGCTCCAATCCCTGAGTTGAGATTTTAGACGTAGGTCCTTCGTTCCCTAGTCGCATTTTGCCAACTTTAGGGCTCCAATCCCTAGTTGAGATTTTTAGACATAGGGCCTTCATTCCCTAGTCACCTTTTTGCCGACATTAGGGCTCCAATCCGTAAGTTGAGATTTTTAGACATAGGGCCTCCATTTCCTAGTTGCATTTTGCCAACATTATGGCTCCAATCCCTAAGTTGAGATTTTAGACATAGGGCCTCCGTTCCCTAGTCGTCTTTATTGCCAGCATTAGGGCTCCAATCCCTGAGTTGAGATTTTTTAGACATAGGGCCTCCATTCCCTAGTCGCCTTTTGCCAACATTAGGGCTTCAATCCCTAAGTTGAGATTTTTTTAGACATAAGGCCTCCATCCCCTAGTCGCCTTTTGCCAACGTTAGGGCTCCAATCCCTAAGTTGAGATTTTAGACATAGGGCCTCCATTCCCTAGTCGCCTTTATTGCCAACATTAGGGCTCCAATCCCTGAGTTGAGATTTTTAGACATAGGGCCTCCATTCCCTAGTCGCCTTTTTGCCAACATAGGATATCCACTCCCTAGTCGAGGTTATTTTAGATATAGGGCTCCATTCCCTAATCTCCTCCTCCTAAAGACACGCAATCCTTATTTTACCGCTTTCAAAAAAAAAAAAAGAGTTTAGATTTTAGTTACAAATAACTTACGAAATTTTCCTAGTGAAAACTGGGGCAGAAAAATTTCGTTCGTTTGTTTGTTTTGGTGTCTGAGCAGGTTTGGCCTCGAGGCACAAGGTCTGAGACAACCAAAAGAATGAGTCTCAATCCAAAATAAAGAAAAGAAGAAAAGGAGCAAAAATAAATGAACTCAAAATGTTGATGTGGAGAAAGATGTGGTCTGTTCAAGATATGATTGAAGTCACAAGCTTCGCATGTCCCGCCTTGATCCAAAAAGCTGAAGAAGAATGAACCAGCAGTTGCAGCTAACGAACATCAAGATTCAAATCAGAGTCTGCAGGAAGAACCAGTCAAGATCAAAGACAAGTTTCACAAGACAAGTTTCACAAGACTCATAGATAGGAATCTTGTAACTCATAGCTGATAGGCTTGTTTAGTTTCTCTTTGATTTTTGATATAATAACAGGATCGCGAACCGGAGCCTCGACGGAACATCACTCGACTCCTCAACTCATCATTCCATCATTTTTCTTGAACTACACGCGACCTGATTCCCTTATAACCCGGGATATGTAGGTTGTCTAAAACCAAGACTCGGTTGCACCCTTTCTCTTTTCTCTTATCCTTATTTCTTCTCTTTTGAATAAAGATATGTTCAAAAATTAGTCACATGACTCACCTTATCTTTGCTTGAAAACTATTCATGTTTCCAAGCAAAGAGGGGCAGCTGTGAGCACCTAATTTTTGACAATATTTTTTTTGTCACTTCTTCTATGTAAATATTTTAGGGGGTTTTAACATACAAATTTTTAGCTTTGTTATACTTTTTATTATAGGTTAAAAATACAAAATTTTAGAAGGTGAATTATTACTATTAATATTATTTTATTTTTTTCTTATTTTTAAATAATAATAAAAAAACTGAAAAATATTAATTTTTTTTAAAATTTTCGGGAGAGATTTTAAAAAATAAGAAAAAGGGAAGTATGAACTTAAAAAAAAAGAAGTAAAAGTAGGTGGAATTCTCTTTTAAAAAAGTAAAAGAAAGTGAAAAATTAAAAAAATAAACGTAAAGTTTTGTGGAAATTTTTAAAAATAAAAAGTAAAAGAAAGTTGGAATTAAAAAATAATATAAAGGTAGCTGAAAATTTAAAAAAATTTAAATTAAAATAAAGTAGAATTTTTTAAAGAAAAGTAAAAGAAAGTGGATTGTTTTTTTAAGAAAAGTAAAATAAGTGGAATTCTCTTTTAAAAAAGTAAAAAAAGTGGGATTTTAAATAAGATAAAAGTAATTAAAGTTGGAATTTAAAAAATAAAAGTAAAGAAAGGTGGTAATTCTTTTTATAAAAAAAAGAAAAGCAAAATGTAAGTGAGATTTCTTTTAAATAAAAAAATAAAAAAATTAAAAAAAAAATCTGATTTTTTTTGTAAATTCTCCTATAAATAGAAGAGAAATATTTGAAGAAAAGAAGAGAAGAGGGAAGGATATTGAGAGAAAACAAATTTTCTTCTTCTATGCTAAAAAGAATTTCTACTAGTTTTATTCTTTCTACCTATTTCTTTCAAAAAAAAAAAAACATATAGTCATTCATTACCTTGATTAAAAAAAAAATACCTCAAAAACAGGAGCTAAATCACACCAAAAATCAAATCCAAAAGCTTCAAACTCAATTTAAAAGATAGCCCAAAATACTAGCCCGAAGAGGTCGAAGTCGAGTTCGGTTCGAAAGGTTTCCGCTCGTTGCCTCTGATTGTGGTTCATTTGCACATTAAATTTGATGGTTGTTTGCTCCATATGTATTGAATAAGATCTTCATCTATAAAAGGTTCATTCTTTTCTTAACCAATGTTTCCATTATTTTTCTTTCACCGTATTTCCTTTTGATTTGTATATTATATTTTGGTTATCTACCAACTTGAAAGATATGAACAAAAAAAATAAAGGAAGAGCATCAAGAAATAGAATTCGTGAAAGACAGAATGAGTTTCTTCAATGAGATTGTAGTTCATAGGGAAAGATAGGAAAATGTATTCAAAATGGAGAGAGAACGATGTAATAGCTTGGATCCAAATTAAAGGATGTTAAGTCAATAGCAAATTTGATACCGACATGGGTGATTAGGTCCATAATAACTCAAATCATATATTTCTTCAATAATAATTCCATATTCATAAATCATGACCTTGCAATAATCTCAAAGTAGTTTTAGGAAGAAACATAATCATGAATATTTGTAGTTTGCTTTAAATTGAATACAATCCTTTTAGAATAATCGAGGCGCGCCATGCCAAATAAAATCTCAAAACTCATGGCCCTCATTTATTTAATTTTAATCATTAGAAATCGAGGCGTGCCATTTAGTTGAATTTTCCATGGCCCTCGCAAACTTAAAAGTGCGTAGTTGCTTTAGACGCGCTATTTTTTTAAAAAAAAATTAATTTCCTAAACTCGGGTGTGCATTTTATGTGACCAAAATCAAAAACTCAACAACGTTAGATAAAATGTGTCGTGGACCGCGGGTGCATTTCATGTGACGTGGTTCAATACGTGTTTTATATGACGTTGAATTTTTCCAAAAAAAATTTAATCAAATGCGGCTAATAAGTTAAAAATATACCATAGGTTGAAACATGTTTTAAAAATCAGATAATAGGCCAATTGTAATAGTTTAAGCGACCGTGCTAGAACCATGGAATCCGGGAATGCCTAACACCTTCTCCCGGGTTAACAGAATTCCCTACTCAGAATTTCTGGTTCGCAGACTTCAAAAGGAAAGTCGAAATTTCCTCAATTTGGGATTTAAAATAAATCGGTGACTTGGAACACCAAATAAACTATCCCAAGAGGCGACTCTGAATTGAATAATTAATCCCATTTCGAATAATGTCACTTAAATTGGAAAAACTCCTTTATATACATTCGGGTGTGTAAAAAGAAGGTGTGACAATAACTAAAAGAAAGCAAATTCTAAGGGGTTAGGAATAGAGAGCCAAGAGTGGAAAATACCTTCATTCCGACATCCCCAATTGCATTTAGCAAGACATACTTATTCACTTTGTTACTAATGGTAGTCTTTTGAACACCATTTTGTTAGTGTTATCACTGCGAATGGTACAACTCATCTCAAAATACTTTTGTTATTACACTATACAAATACATGGTAAATTATTTAAACTTATTAAGAGAAACAACAGTACCGGATCTTGTACTCCACACATACTACTAATATCAAAAGCTAAAGGTGGAATTCATTTTTGATTCATCATTCACTGCTGCTTCTATGACCAAAATTTCGTCTTTACTAAGGGGGAAAAAAAGAAGAAGAAGAAAAGCGGAAACTGGGCCAGCAAAATGCAATAAACAGATGCAGAAACAACTGAAAACTCAAATAAAGTTAGATAAACGGGTATATTTACTTACATGCATGTGTTGATCTCTCTGCTACCATGTTATATGTCCTCCAACCAAATGTGGTGACTCAGATCATTAGTTGTTGTAACATCCTCTTGAATCACTAAAAGAAAACACTTATTTTTCGTCTTCAGAGAGAATAAACAGATGCACAGAAAAATCAAACACAAAAGTAAGAAGACCCATGATAAATCAAATCAAAAATCCATAAAGGATAGACGAAAAATTCGAAGAGGAAAATCCCCAAATAAGAATACATACCTTTGAATAAACGAAAGAGTTTGAGAGCAACATAAGCTGATGCGATGAGCGAGATTTAAAGTAAAATTTTGGTCAGGCGTTGAAGTCTAGATGGGACTGGCATGGACGAGAAAAGTAGAAGAGAAGCTTTGGGGAAATGACGTTTACCAAGTGGGAGGGAAAAAGCTTTACACGTGTTTCTGGAACATGTAGGATTGACTCAAATTACCACTTTACCCCTATAGAACTTACAACTCCCAACTCTGACTGCCTCTTGTACAGCTACATATTGCAGGTGTTCGTCCTTTCAAACTCTCATTTCTAATATAAAAACAAATATGTAGTAATGTAGGAATATAGATATCTAGTCCTATTTGCATGGAAAATTTTATTTTGTGAGTTGTACGTGGACTCAGATTTTTGTACACAAAATAAAACTTTTCCTATTTGCACATAGTTTATCTATTCGAAAAGAGTGCGGTTTATATTTTTCTTTTATTTTGGTGGAAAAAAGCATACGGGTAAATGCATCTGAACTTTTCCGGCTTCTGACTTCTGAGGGAAGCTTTAAGATATATTTAATGCATCTCCGTGCAAAATTGCACCTATTTATTTCGTTTACTGTTCCCTTCCATAAGAAAAATTTGCTATCCATGAACTAATTAAGAACTTGTTGAGTTGCTCTACTTGTTGGTCCTTTTGATATGGGTATTTTGTCGATGGATGGTATATTTTTAGCCGTTCCTAAAAATAATAGTCAATAAATATAATACTCCCTCTGTTTCAATTTAAATAAGGTAGTTTGACTCGACACAGAGTTTTAAAAAAAAAGAAAATTTTTGAAATTTATGATTTTAAAAGTTTAAGGGGTAAAAGCTTTGTGGGGCCATGATATTTGTGTGATTATAAAAACTTCTCAATTAAGGATAAAATAGGCAAAATGGAGAGTTTAAAGTTCAATTATTTCCAAATTTGGAAATGTATTATTTATTTTGGAAAAAATTAAAAAGGAAAGTATCTCATCTAATTTGAAACGGAAGGAGTATATTTTTTGTTTATATGTGCATTATATACAAAAAAATTATAAATATTTTATACATTTTCGGTTAGTGAATAAATCATTTTTCTGCTGATATCAAGTTGAATACTTATGATTCTTTGCGGAAAATTCATGCAATTAATTTGATCCCCATTTGCCCACTGCAGTGTCTCTCAAAAATAAGAAAGCGGAAGCCGAAAGCTAAATTTAGAAAACGTGGTTTTGAAACGTGTTTTATTTTAACGGACATTAAGGTAAAACGTGGTTCAAAATTGCATTTTATATATTTTGGTCACTAAGGTTTTTTCATTTATTTATGTATTTTGAGTCCAAAAATATACTCCCTCCGGTCCAAAATAAGTGATTTTTTAATTTTTTTCTTGTAGTCCAAAATAAGTGATTTTTCCAGATTTCAAGAATGAATTAATTATTTTTTTTCCTACATTGTCCTTGGAGTAATTAATGTTGGAGTATGTTAGGAGTGTTTATGTGAAGAGATAGTAAATGTTAATATGGTCAGTTTCATTGCTAATTAATTAATATTAATTTGTAAATTTTGTCAAAACAACAAAAAAATCACTTATTTTGAACTATTAGGTTCCAATCGAACTCCAACTATTATATGCGAGATTCAGCTTTTTGACACAGAGAAATGGTGATCGTGCTTCAGCTGGTGCACATGCATGGGATTTTGGATTAATAGCTTGGGTTGTCATACTCTTGTTAGATTCTCGAACTGTCTAATTGGCAGTATGAGTTGAAACCAATGTTTAAGTTGGATATGCTTTATTTGACTGATTTCATCTTCTTGTGGTAACGTTGATTCCAAATTGAATCTTTTCTAATTTCTGTCATTTTTCAAAAGATAAGATTTTGGTCATTAAATTTCTAAAAAGGGCTCTTAGTGTCTTTTTCTCTAGTAAATATAAAATAGCTAGGGACCAACCCAATAACTAATTAACCCGGCCCAAGAGACTCTCAATCTGGTGACCCGACTCCACCTCTCTCGTTAACGCCTAAAAATCCCAACTTTAACCAACCTCCCAACAGATTTTATTGTACCTTGTTGAAGAATGGTTCTTTGACACTTTCGCAAAAAGATCCGTTCTTTAACGTTATTTAGCAAAAATCCATTCCCTGGCAATAAAGATCGCTTCTTTTTATAATTATGGATTTTGGCTTAATTAGCCGTGCTTCAATTGAATCTTTTCTTCAACCCTACTGTAAGATCTGTTTCAGAAAGGTGAAAACAAGTTGATTTTGGGTTCTGATTGTTACATGTTTTGTTAATCTTATTTANCTTAATTAGCCGTGCTTCAATTGAATATTTTCTTCAATCCTACTGTAAGATCTGTTTCAGAAAGGTGAAAACAAGTTGAGTTTGGGTTCTGATTGTTATCTGTTTTTGTTTATTTTATTTGGATTTTGACTTTTAAGATCTATTCAGTAATTCTAGTTCTATGCTATTTTCCTGAGTATCTGCTTTGTTTTCTTTGAAAACCTTCTCTAGTATTGACAAGATCTGAATTTCTTTTCTTACACTTAGCTTTTCATTATTCTAACGTAATCAAGAACATATATTTAAGATCTGTTTTGTTGAAGATCGGTTCTTTTGCAAAAAAATCCGTTTTTTTGGCAATTCTGGGATTTTGCTTGATTAGCCTATCATGTTCTTCGATTGATTTTTTCTTCAATTTGCTGTAAGATTATTCTCTTTTTTTGTGTTTTTCTTTTTGGATTTCTGTTGTGACTTCTAAGTTCTATGCTATTTTCCTAAGCATCGGTTTTACTTTCTTTGAAAACCATTTCTAGTATTGATAAGATCTGAATTTCTTTCTTTGTGCTCATGAAGATTATTACACTTAACTTTTCTTACTATAGCGTAAACAATTACAGATTTTTATTGTATCTTGTTGTAGTTGAGAAACTCATATTTTCTTCTTTGAAAATTGGTGCATATCTGATATAATGAGAATATTTCCCTTGACTTTCTAATGCTATAAGTTTGAACATACTAAACATACAACTCAATGACCATATTATGCTTATGGGTCATGATAAAGCTGAAAGTTTAAGCTGTTTACTAATTTCTGTAAATAGGTATGAAAAAATCAAAATCAGTTTTCTCCATTAAGGTTGGTTTTCCTCATCTGCTGCTTGTCTTTCCTTTCCGCTTGTACCTGATGAGTTGCCTTGCTCCTTCAAGAAATTTTCCTTTTGCTCCTTCAAGAAATTTTCCTCGTGCTCCTTCCAGAAGTTTCTTTTTTCTTCCTTTAGAACCTTTACTGGGTCTCTGGATTTACCAAAAATATGATGAATCTCCATTGACATATATAGAAATACTCAGAGTAGTATATTGTGGACCTAGTAGAAAACTATATCATTCTGTGCTTATACAAGAATACAATAAAATCATAGCATATGTTATTTTAATCTTAAAAAAAAACTGCAGAACAACAAAGAATATTTTCCTTTGTATTAAAAAAAGAATAGTGTCTTTTTTTTTTTGGATTACATTAGAATATTTAACCAAATGGAGCTTGTGTTGAGTGCCACTTCCTTCCCAAACAGAAATTCTCCTTATTTAGTCCAGCTGCTTTAAAACCCTTGTAGGTAGTAGGGAAAAGGGGCATGAAGTAAGCTGGGATGCTGGCCAAGATGCTGTTAATTAGGGTCAACCTGCCACGGGGAGATGTTATTTCTGCCACCTATGGAGAGAGATATTGTCCTTTTTCTTCACTATCCAAGTCTTGTCCTCAAACTTCAAATCTTCTGGTATTTTTCAATGTAGTCAATAAATCTGTTACTGTTCTTTTTTCTGCTAATTAGTAACGTTCCTCCTTTACTGTTTGTGGTAATTCTTTATACCATAAACCTACACTACCTTGCATTGTTCCATGCAGAATCCTTGTGCTCTTTAAACATCCACTTCTTCCTTAAGATGTTTTATTTAGTTCTAATTTAGAATACGAACCAATTAAGGACAAAGAGCAATAACCTTACCTCAAGAATTATATATGAAATTTGATAAAGTACAAAAGGCAATAACAAAGTCTAGAATTTCAGTACAAAGAAGAATAAGTTATGCAGGTAGTAGAACATTAAGAATAGGATATAAACCTTAAGGGATAGAACAAGGTTTTTGATCTAACTAAAAATAATATCATTGAAGTACATTGAACCATCTTACTTCTTCTTTTCGTAGACCAGCATGAAGATTCTTCTATCTGAATGGTCGTGGAAAAAGAAATGTTTGCCCAAGCTGAAAGATAAAAAATGTTGAGTTATTAGTCCAGGACATGGTGCTTTCGGGATACTGTTACACTGTCTGCATAATAGAGGTGTCATTGATAACTTGAGAGTTCAATGTTGGTAGTTAGCAAAGTATAGTGTTGCGACTAATTTTTTTTTAAGTTCTGGAAAACATCCAATTGAAAAAAACAATTCTTTTCCAAAAGTTTTTCAGTGAAACAGTTGTCCATAGATTCGTTGTTTTTCAAAAGTACTTGGAAGTGTTAAGAAAGCTTATACGTTGCTTGTGCTGTTTGGGGTGTACATGTATATGTCATTATGTTTCCTCTCCTGCAAAATTCAAATGTTAGTATGCCTTTTGTCTCTGTTATTTTTTTAAAAAAAATTTCTGTTGAGAGAGTTTTACCTCTTCAACTGCTTCAACCAGGGCTTTGATCAGTCTTTTATCTTCATCTCTACTAGTACACTACAAACAAAGTTTGAAAGAAGTTGTTAGATTCAGAGTAAGTCAATATTACTCAAAGCTTAAAAAGCAGATACTTGCGGATTTTTCCGCTCCCTTAATGTCTTCTTCAAAAATCCTCTGGAACTCAGTCCATTTAAGTTTTATTAGCGTATCCTGCTAGGGGCTAATAAGAGGAATTGCTGTTTGAGTTAGAGCAAAGAAGGAACCAAAGAATTCTAAAGAAATAAAGCAGAAACGTGCAACAAGAGGAAGAAGAAACCGGTCTTAGATGGAGTACGTGTAAAGTTTGGGTCTGTTTTGGCTGTTGGGGTTTGTCTTGGCTGTTTTGCAGACCTCTAAATGGAAAATCTTACCAGTGCTGGTCTAAATGCGG